CACACTGAGTCCCGTGTATCTCTGCTGACAGAGGCCCCAGGAAATTCCGAGACTCAGACATAGCTGAGCCCGTAAGTGTAGGACGAAGTGTGTCAGTAGTCCGCAGGTGAGAACTGCAGCAATGGTGAAGGTGCCCTTGAGACCAACACCTCCTTAGCCCTCTGAGATGCAGACTACCTGGTCCAGGGAGTCGCTGTTGACCTTGGGCCAGATGCTGCAGTCGGATGCAGAAATAAAACCCACAGCCTCCTCCCCGGAGTCCTGCAAGGTCTCCCAACCCACTTTCCACAGAAATGTCCACTTCAGCAAGCTCCCACACCCCCAGGGTGTTATCATGGTAGTTATTGTTTCCAGGAGGGGCCAGAGTGGAACTGTTCCCGGGTTAGGGGCTGAGGCTGTTGAGAAGGTTCATAATTGAAGGGTGTCTCTGGCAGAGCTCTGCACTGAATCTGCAGTTCTACTGCACACCCTCTCCGCAGGGTGTTAGGAAATGGCTCCGTGGACAGCTTTGATCTCGAGCCTCCCGGCGTTCATTAACACTTCAGTGTAGCACATTGTGTGCAAATCACCCTTTCACTTTTAGATCTGGGGTGGTGGGACGTTAATCAGCAAATTCTCTAATCTTTACTTTTATACCTTATTACATGCTTTCTAAAAGATGAAAAGATTGAATTGAGACTGCCTCATCCCTTGGTAATTTATACCTCTAGACAATAGCAGGTTTGTATGACAATATAAAATTCTTTGGTGCTCTTTTCTGAGATTTATGAATGAATGTAAAAGAGAGCAAATGAAGCTTGGGGAGAGAGAAAGAAAGGGAGAACAACTCTAATAAAATGTATGAGAAGAGACCCACTACACAGCTGCATCGTTGTTACCCAGGGCAAAAAGACAGGCATTCCATCTTGGGAGACTTCAGATTAATAGTAATGGCTCCTCAAGGACCATTCTGAGTTATTGGGAAATAAAATATTCATAGGTATAAAACTGAAATTAGCCTACATGAATTTTTCCTGGAGTCTACATTTAGAGAACACATTTTGGTTGAAGAGAAACCTGCCTGGGACTTGGTATGCTCTAATGTTCACCATAAATAATTAAAAATTCTGTATCAGCAGAAGAATGGCTCCTCTCAGAGCAAAGTCAGCCAAATCTCTGAAAACCAGAGGTAGAAGCAACTTACATTTTGAGACTCCTGAGGATGAGTCCAGAAAGAACAGAGGAAATTCATCAGGCAGAGGCAAGGGAGACCTTACAACAACTGGCACAAAACTGCTTCTGGAGTCTCAGTAATCAATCATGTTGGCCTGAAAGTGGCAAGATTTCAGAGCATGATTCTGGCTGAGAGCAGGAAATGCCACATATTTAAATACATATATTGGAATGAGACCGAACTTCAAAAGTCCCTAGGAAGAGTGCTACATAGCAAAGGCTTCATGCAGGGATGAAGAGAGGAGCTCTGGGTTATCAAGACATCAAAGATGGGAGGGAAGATGCTGCTGCGAACATCAGAACAGGATGAAGGCCTGACTTCTCAGCGACTTTCTGTTCGGCCCGGCACTGGAGACAGAAGGGCATCACACTTGTGTTTCCACCAGGAACCCCAGCCAGACTCCTCAACAGCTACCCACCCCACTCCCCTTCTGCTCCTGAGCTTGGGGGAAGCCCATAGCCGCCCTGATTTTTCTCTTTGATGCAAACCCATCTGCTTTTTTCTTTGGGGGGATTCTTCCTGAATTCAGGGCCAATCAAAGCATCTCCTCTTCCACGGAAGCACCAATATGTGTAAACAGTATGCAAACATTTTTCAATCCTGTATTACACGTAGAGCATCCTACTCGTGCCAAACTCGGTAGGCAGACTCAGGAAACAGGGGCAGTTCTCCTCTCCCAGCTGACTTCTAAGCATGTGCTAGCGAATCTCCCCTCCTGACCCTGGAACAGTGTCCCAGGCTCTTTGTTAATTCTGGGCCATCCTAACAGACTTCTCTGAACCCAGCCCTCCAAGCAGGAGCTGTGTGGCATTCCTCTCCAGACTCTGGATCCTGAAGTCAAAGGAGACCCGCGCATCCTCAGCCACATTGGTCGCGCCTTTCTGCCACCGATTCCAGAAACAAATGTTCAAGTAAAGAAGTGCTGGGGAATGAGTAGAACGAATAAATGAATGCTTGGCCTTCTGGCGGGTTCCAGTACTCCGTCTTTCTGTGTTGCCTCTGTGTAGTACCACTGAGTAAGCGAGAATAAATTTTGTCTCTAGGTCCAAGCCTTGCACAAATGTGTAAAGGAAGTAAAATGTGGCTTGCTTTCCTTTGACTCTAGGCACCCTGGAATTAAGATGTGCCCCTCACACGACCCCAGGGGACCTGCACTGGCGGAGATATTACAGCACAGAAGAGCATCACGTGACACCCACACGTGCCTTGGCACATAGTCACCATTCACAAAAGTAGCACAAACTAGTGATCTATGAGAGAAAATGTAAGTGCAGTACCTGTCCCCCTAGGTGGCTTGATCCATACACCGTTCTTCATCTGTTTGCTTTCCAGCCACTCCAATCTGTCATGGATTACTGGGCAACTGTGCTTTCTGCGCTTTTTTTCAGTGATATTGAAGGACAGAAAGGGAAGGATGATCACTCCAACCAAAATTTCCTAGAACAATTGATTAAAAAATGTGACTGTACCTCTATCTTACACCATCTTTATTCTGAGCTCTGGTTCCTAAGAAAAACATTGATTTTCCTCCTTTATCTTGCTTTGAAAAAATTCCTCAGAAACCCTCCCTCTGACAGCCTTTTTTTTTTTTAATTTAAATGCTGGGTGTGGCGGCACATGCCTGTAATCCTAGCACTTGGGAGGCTGAGGCAGAAGGATCACTGTGAGTTTGAGGCCAGTCTGAACTACATAGTGAGACCCTGTCTCAAAAAAAAAGAAAAGATTTAAATATGAAAGGTAAAAATCATAGAAAGTTTATAAAAAATGAAAATTTAAAAAAGGAGAAGCTGAGTCTAAATGTGGGAACTGGCTGTAGGTCCCGGGCTGCCTTGTTTGTCCCCTCTGCCCATCCAATGGCCACCCTACAATGATGTAGAAAAGATCTTTCCTACATCACAACTGGTCTGATGGGTAAAGAGCTCCACCAGCTCAATCTGTGAAACCACAAGACAATGTTAACATTTTTTAACACCATGCGTTCAAGGGAAGAAGAAGACAGGGAAAGTACGGGAAAACTGGAATGCTTAAGAAAGGTGGCAGTTTCAAAGAACCTTTTATTTTTTTGGTTTTTTGGTTTTTCTCCGGTACCAGGAACCGAACTCACGACCTTGCGCTTGCCAGGCAGGCGCTTTGCCGCTGAGATAAATCCCCAGCCCCTCAAAGAACCTTTTAAGCTGAGATTTTGAACAATAAAGGAATCACTGGCAAACTATGCATTTGAAAGAGCAGTTGGAACCCTTACACAATTTTAACAGTAGAGGAAGAAACTGTCACAGAGTTGTGTGAACGTCTTTTTGGTACTCACTGTTCTACAGAGTTTTAAAGCAAGCCTTTTTGTGCTCAGAATACTTTCTTGTTTGCTTTCAAAGAATTTCAGATATCAGAAAAATGCAAAACTAGCATCAAACTTTCCATATGCTATTTATCCCAATATTGCCCAAATACTAACATTTTGCCCCACTTGCCTTAGCATTGTCTCTAACTCTATATTTTTTTAAATAAAATAAACTTGGTAAATAGCTGGTACATATTTACCTCTTGAAAACTGGATGGGAAAAAAAAAAAAAAAAAAAAAAAAAAAAGAAAACTGGATGGGCATTTGCAAAAGCAAGGACATTCTTACATGATCACAGTACTAATTCTCAAAATCAGTAAATAAAAAAAATCAGCCAATCAACATTAATACAATGCGATTATGTAATCCATGCATCGTATTCCGGTTTCACCAGTTGTCCCACTAAAAATCATTTTAAAGACTGTTCTTTTACTATTCTGTGGCTGTCATTTTGGCAAAACAAATTCCAGTCTTTTCAGGAAGATGTAGCTATTCACTCAACACATACAAAACATTTGAGCTAGATTAATTTTCAGGAAAAGGAATCTAAAACCTCATGTGAATTATGCTTACAGACATCTTCATTCTCTGAGGAAAGAACCCCAGGCAAAGCCTCATCTTGTCTCCCAGTGCCAGGGTTATCAGAGGAGTTTCTGTTCTGAGCAGGGCACTTGTCTAATTTTTTTTTCCCAATTCCTCATTAGGCTGAGGGAATTCATGTCAAAAATATTCTGAAACATGTTTTTACCTCCCTCCCACACATAGAAGCCTGCTTTCCCTTTTCACTGTGACGGCCAAAGAGGGTGCATGGATCTTGTACAGTACCCTAGTTCCTACAAGCAGATTCTTCCATTGCCCACCTGCGACACTGCCTCTATTTGATTAAGAGCCAAAGGCAACAACCTAAATACACGCCCATCAGAAAGAGGACAGGCTAAATACACAGGGCAGCTATTCAAAAGAAGATGCAGCTGTGTGGATTCCAAACTAAATCAAGCCTAAACCACAGAAAGTGGTGATGTCCCGTTGATTCTGCTGAATGGATGGGGGAACTTGAAAAGTGGAGACAGAAGGAGGCTTGTATAAGGTAGCTTTTTGCACCATCTACTTAAAAAAAAAAACGTGAATATGTAAGATATGGGGGTGCCGATAGTAGAGGGATGGAAACATAGATCGGTAGATAGATACAAAGACTAACAGAAGAAACAGCAGGTCCCATATTCTTGGGATGTACCGGAGAATTTTGAAAGTCATCGCTCCCTTTTTCATTGTCCCTAATCGACTGTTTGGTCCTCTCCCATCAGCGGGAATCTTTTCCTCAGCTAGTAAAGAAGACACAAAGCAGACCTAGCCTTGCGCACGCTCAGCACAACCGCTCGCGTATGCACACGGCCTCAAACGCGTTTGTATATTTGAAGGCGAGTGGGTAACGGGGAAGATGGAGAACAGCTTGGGCAAACCAAGTGCGGGCCTCCCTCCTCTCTCCCTGCCTCAGGCCTGCACTTCCTCCCAACCCCCTTCCCGCCGCTTCGTGCGCCTTTCTGCCCACCCGCTCTCCAGACCCTACGCGCCCTGGCGCCAGGACTGGCGTAAATTTCCGCCCACTCGCGCCGCGCCCCGGGGGCTGTTTCGTGACGTCAGGGTCGAGCGAGGGGGGCCTCCTCCCGGCTGCTCGCCCCTCCAGGCCTCGCGCCCCCGCCTGCCCTTTAAAAGAGCGAGGCCCGCGCCAAGCGCGCCACACCGCGGGGACCAGGACGCACGCTGGCTTCCCGGAGCACCTCCGCCTCGCCGTCCTCCCGCATCCGCCTCTCTGGTGTAACCGAGCCGCGCCGCGCAGCAGCCGAGCCGGGCCATGCAGCCCGCAGCGCTTCTCGGCCTCCTGGGAGCCGCGGTGCTGGCCGGTGAGTGGGCGCGGTGGGGCGTTCAGCACCGCGGACAGCGCCGCCCGGCTCCCTGCTTGGGGCTGGCGGACGCTGGGAGAAAGGGAGGGTTGCTACTTGGGGTTCTTCATTTCTTCTCTTCCCTGGCTGTTTTCCTTGGAATACCCACCCTCGCCTCCGTCCCCATTTGACTTGGAAAAAGCCAGAAGGCTTCCTAGACCAGCCCGGAGAATCTAGGTCTTTTCAGAGCCACGTTTTCCTGCAGATGGGAAGACAGCATGTCGCCCTCCAAGGGGGACCCTCGTTTCCTGCTCATTTCTAAAATGTCACGCTCCCTCGCTACCTGTCTAGAGATGCGTTGTAGTCAGATTCCTGTCTCGCTTTTAATAGCCAGGTGACCACAGAGAGGCAGGGATGCGGACAGCACGTTACTAGCTGACACACGTACAATTTCTTTTAGTATTATTATTACATTATATAAACATGATAAGGCAAAACAGTCTTGTATGTATGCGAGATATACCTTTTTTCTTATGTTCATATGTGTGCACATTCATGCATTTGTAAACAGGCTTGATATATTTTTTCTTTATATTTTCACATCTGGAGAGAGGTAATTTCACATTCAAATCAATCCATTTTTCAGTTATCAATGAAAACTACATTAGATATTTTGATTTTGTACTCCTGGGAAAATAACTAGAGTATAAAATAACCACAGAAGTGTCTCTGGAGTACTTAAAAAAAAACCCTGTTTTTGCCAATATTGGAGAATGAAAATTTAAGTAGTGTATGTTTGACAGTTTCTCTGTGTGTGGAAGGTTGTGAAATTAATCTTTCAATCTATTCTGAATCTCAAAGAAATTATCTCTGAAGATGTGAAAGAACATGTATGTGTGTGTGTGTGTGTGTGTGTGTGTCTGCGCGAGCATGCACTGAAGTAACTACAGTCTTGAGACTGCTGAGAAGTAAGTATACCAACATGAAATAAAACTCAAGGTTTTCCTTGGCTGTTTAAGTGATCTATAGAAGACTGTTTGCTCCTGAGATTGATACTCCTAACCAGAATTGAGATATCAGATATGAAGATTTTATTGACAGCAACTACTAAATCAGAAATGTGGAAACAAAATGAAAGCCCATAGTAACTTATTTTATTGCAAGCCACATCCATTCAGGATTTTCTAATTTTTTTGTCATTACACATTGCAAATAAATGATCTCCATTTAATTAAAGAAAATCAAATAAGTAATTTAGAATTATATCTGGCCAAAATATTTTCAGCAAGGAATTGCTTAAGAGGCCAAAAGTATACTGTACATTGTGTAATAGATGGCAGAAATAGGGACATTGGTATTTAACTATGGTGTAAAATACAGAGTTCTTAAATAAGAGACTATTTTAATAAAGGTTCAGATTATAATATCAGCTAAAATATAGACATAAGACATTGTTTTAAATTTTTTTCTACTGAACTATAACTCACACATCATAGAATCTACCCTTTTACAGTGTCAGTGGTTTATAGTATACCACAGATTGTGTAACCATCACCACTGTCACACTTCAGAACATTTTAATTATCCCCAGAAAGATGCCCTGTGGCTATTGCCAGTCACCTCCCCGCTCTCCACCACAGCCCTTGGCAGTAAGCCTTCAAGTAGAGTTTGTTATTTAGCAAAATCACATGGCTGGGGAAAACCTCAGGAAAAAATCTGGTTCATTTTATACCCTTAAGAGCCTTTACAGGGAGATCCACACTTTCTATGGCAGCTACTGTGCCCTTTAAAAATGAATATGTCTGAAGTAGCCACATCATATCTATGTAATGCTAAGTAAGATGAGTTTTGCCAGCCAGATCTTGCCTGCCTTAAGTTTTAGGAGGAACTTGGGAGGCCTCATAGCCTATTAGTCAAAGAACTCAATCTAATTTGCAGCTATGTTTTCAATCTGGGATCCAACCTTAATAGTTTTATGAGATATTAATAAATTAGAAGATATTCTCTGATTTATCATAATCTGATAATTTATATGTTTTCATTACTTCACTTTTAACATGAGCGTTAAATTTTTCTTCCTTTCCACAAAAATGAGCTAAGCCACCTTAGGGTAATCAATACACTGCACTGTTAGTACTTTGCCATCACAGGTTTTATTGGGAGAAACACAGTGACCTTAAAGATCTCACCGCGATGCAAGCTGTGCTGTACAAGCAGACCGTAGTTCCTCTACATCACAAAGGCTCTCAAGAGCCCCGGACAGAGAAATGAGCTGTTCTAAAAACAGATGTGAACTATAGTATGTGTAGAATAGCAAAAAAAAAAAAATTATCTTCCCCCCCCCCAACTCTGCTACCTGTTACACTTGGACAGTATCAGTAGTTAATAATAAGTATCTATTTTTACAACAGTGAACAGAAAAGAGAAGTATTAGTATGAAATTGCATTGTCAAAGAAGGTCTACTACAATTGAAATTTTAAAAAGGTAATTTTGTTTATTAGCAAGCAATCCTCTCAGCTATGTTTTTGCAGAGGATTTTATAGATTTCAGATTGAAAGAGAAGTTTAAGAGGTTTGTGGGGGGAACAGGGATAGGCAGAGGTAGCCACAGATTTGCACCCGTTTGGAGCAGACAGAGGATGATTGAGAGGACATTCTGGTTCTATTTTGATTTTGCTTGCTCTGAACTTTTCATTGATAAAAATAAACTTTTTATCGAAGTATACTATGTAGAGAACTGCCCAGATCATGAGTACGCAGCTTAATGATCTTTTCACAAACTTAGGACACCTCTGTAATGAGCACCCAGATCAAGATACGGAATGTTACCAATATGCAAGGAGTCTCTCTTGTTGGAAGTAGAGTTGATTTAGACTGGATGCAAGATAGCGTTTATTTCCGAATATGTTTAAGACATTGCTGGGGAAAACAACTGTGTGTACAGATGTGTGACACATACAGAGGTATGGTGCGTGTGTACACGTGGGCACGTGTGTGTGTGTGTGTGTGTGTGTGTGTGTGTGTGTGTGTACCGGGGCAGTTATGGTCTCTGCGGCAATCGTGCCTAACTACCCAACTCTGCTCAGTTCACTCTCTGCCCCTCTCTCCGAGTACAGTGGGGTGATTTTGTGTGTTTGAGTCCCTTGGCCTCCAGAATCAACTCAAGGCATCCTCCTTTCCTTTTCTCTTTCCAAGCTGTCGGCTCTGTGCCAGTGGATAACAGGAACCACAATGAAGAGATGGTAAGTTAAAGCGTCAGCCTAGAATCTAGACTTTGGGCTCTAGACTCTTGCATGCCCCATTACACCCAGCACACACAACGCCAGGTTTTCATGGAGAGAATCGGGCGAGGCTGCCCTCCCTCCCTGAGGCCCCGCCTCCCCCTGGAGGGCCCAGGTCCCTGTGCACGGGCGGTGTGGTCTGAGCAGTCTCTCTCTGATCTGTGCAGAAAGGGCTGTTTATTTCCCTTCTAGGGGAATCACAGCTCAGTGCCTTCTTGCACTGTGCTGCCGAGGCTGGGGCCTGGGGGGCTTCCTCACCACCCTGGAAGCTGGGGTCTCGGCCCTAAGCATCCCACATGGGCATGGGTCACGGAGTCAAGCTTCCCCACACGGCAGCTCTGGGTTGCGTCAGAGTCACAGTGACACCAGCTTCTCCAGCCTGCTTTTGTGTTTTCCCCAGGTGACTCGCTGCATCATCGAGGTCCTCTCGAATGCCCTGTCCAAGTCCAGCGTTCCACCCATCACCCCCGAGTGCCGGCAAGTCCTGAAGAAGAGTAAGTGTCACTGTGCAGCCAGACCTTTGTCTGTGTGAGACCTGGCTCCTGCTCCCTCTGCTCCCCCTCAGGTGACCTGGGGGCGTGACGGGTATTGGCTGAATACAGCAGTACTGGGGGAGGCAGAGACAAGTCTCATCATCGTTGCTGTACTTCTTGGTAGCTGGGCGACCATGGGGAAGACTCCTTCCCTCTCTAGGCTTCTTTCTTCAAAGTAAAATGAGGGAGGTGAGGTTAATGGCAGCCTATCAATTCTTACATTCCTTGGATTTGTATTTTGAATTCTTATTTTGTTTGTTTTTGTTTCATTTTATGGTCCTGGAGACTAAACCCAGGACCTTTACACTGAGCTACTTTCCTAGCACTTTTTTTATTTACCTTTTATTTTGAGACAGGGTCTCATGAAATCACTGAGTTGCCCAAGCTGGGCTCAACCTTGTGATCCTCCTGCCTCAGCCTCCCAAAGTGCTAGGATGACAGGGGTGCACCTGCACTCCAGCATATTTTAGAATTTTAGAACAGGCCACCATTTGGGTGGATGGCAGCATGGAAACTGTTTGTGATTAGAGGAGAAGGGGTGGTTGTAGGGGCTCCTGGGATATAAAAGGATAGAGCAAGTCGTAACAATCTTCTCTTTGCCTTCTATTCTTCTGATAGTGAGAACGTAAAAGCTTAGAAAGGTGACTTGAAAACTTCCAGCCTGTTTACAAGGGAGATTAGGGACAACATTTTAATGAAGAATTTATTAGAGTGGGAGTTCCCACCAAATGGTACCAGGAGTCCCAGCCCTGAAGCCTGGGAGGGCTTAGGGTAGAAGCAGAGCATCCCAGCACCTCAGACCTACCGCCCTCTGTGTCCAGACTGGGATGTTCTCTCTGTAGCCCGAAGCTTTAGCTGAAAACAAAATTTGCACCATGATGTAAGCATGGTTCCTTGGGAACTGACCTTAGGAGATCAGTTTTACAAACAACACAATCCCTTTTATGGATGAAGTCAAACTGTTTCAAATACAGAAAGCACTGCTGTCTTTACCACCTGCCTATGCTTTCAGATTTTTCGTAGGTCTGTGAGCAGTAGATTATTTTTTTTTCTTTTCACCTCTAAAAATCTCTCATTGCAAGATAACAATCTCTTGCTATTGGTGCACACGGCCCTTATGCATAAAGTGGGAATAGCAAGTACAGTATTAGCCGCTGGCCTGGAGAGTAAGCTTGGTAACTCGTTCTGCTTTGGGCGCTTCAGGGTAACCAGTAGATGTGGGGGCCTGAGCCACGAGGAACACCATAAACAGTGAAGAGAAAGAAGCTCTCCTTTCACCCCCATTCATATTCCAGTTTCTGACCTTTTCCCGCACTTTCTTTTCCAGTCATTGTAGAAGGTGGGAGTGCAGGAAACCTCCAAATACTGCTGCTCTCCAGGGCAAGCCCATCTTGCCATCTCTTTTTCTTTCTTTCTTTACCAGGTGGATGCAAAAGACAGGAGTCTGTCATTTAAGGTTGCTGAATGGCCAGGATCACTTAGGAAAACTTGTTCAGTGTCAGGCTCTACTTGCCTACCAAAACTCTCTCTTGGTCCCTACGCTGTATCCATGGTAACTCTAGCTTCTTCTTGTCACTGATTATGCCCTGGAGTTTTTTGGTGTCTGCTGAGAGTCTCAGAAGACACACTCAGACAGTGATAGATTGCTGAGATAGGAAAGTGTTAAGAATGCCTGTGTGCTGCAGTCTCAAACACCAGGTAGGGCCAGATACACAGACATAACGTGAAAAAGAAAGGCAGGCCAGGAAGTGAGTCACATGATTCCTCCGATCCAAATACATATTTCTATCTTTCATCCTGTTCTAGACAACTACAAACTTTGTTGTCATATCATATAGTTCTGATCTTACAATTTTTCTGAAGAAGTTGTATTTATTATATTTTTCTTTCTTTGTGGTTCTGGGGATCGGACCCAGGGCCTTGCACACACTAGGCAAGTGCTCAACTTCTGAAGTATACCCTTAGCTAAATTTTGATTTTTAAGCAACATGCTCTGATATTTAAATATTACCTCTGGATTTGAATTGAGTAAAAATGCTTTCTGTTTGGGCCAAACAGAACTCCTCTCTGGGCTACCAGTTTGCAACTTCTGTGCTATTTTAGTCCTCTTAGCAGTATGTCCTAAGCTAATCGGAAGACTTGAGCTTGGGCCAGTGGGATGGATGAATTCCTTCCCAAGGCTTCAGTTCCATTCTGAACCCATCTCTCCTCCCACGCTTCACATCAGCTCACATTCACTGAGCCAGTGAGCATTTAGGGGAGAAGGGAAGAATCAGTGTTTTGCAGGCTAAAGAGACTTTAGGGAATACACAGTCCCACTTCTTAGCAGATATAAATCAGATCTCTTTGGCCAGAGTCGAGCTGGTCACCTTTGCAGCATGGCAAGGATGAAATGTGCATTCTTCCTGTCTTAGTTACTTTTCTCTCCTTGCTGAGACAAAATATCTGACACCCACAATTAAGGAAGGAAAGGTTTATTTAGCTCACAGTTTGTGGAGGTTTCAGTCCAGAATCAGCTGGCTCCAAGGCAGGGTGGCAGGGTGGCAGGGTGAGGTGCAATAGTTCAAGGCGGCAGAAGACAGCAGAAGCAGTAAGAGCAAAAGGAGGTGGGGGACAAGCCTCTTTTCCTCCCTTATATTGTAAGCAGGCTACCCCCACCCAGGGCAAGTCAGCACTCACACCATCTCTGTGCCTTCCTCTTGCGCAGGATGAGGGTGTTTACAGTGAGGGCCCTGGCCTCCTGCTAAGTCACTTAACTAAACTTTTAAACTTCTCAAGTTGACACAATGAACAAGGGCCTAGAGCAGTGAGGGCATGTCCTCTACACCCTGGGATGTGATCTGCTGAGTTACTTAGTTAAGCTTCTAGACCTCTCAAGTTGATACAATGTATCAACCGTAGCATTCCCCTTTTAACTTGAAAGTAAGGGTGAGCATCACACCTTGGTTTTAGAGATTGAGGGTGACTGTGCTGCTAATCACAGCCCTTTTCCAATCTCACTTGCAGGGGCTTGTGGCTAAATTTAGGAGGAAATGCTAAGCCTCAGGCCCGTGCTGCCACAGGCAGCATAGTTAACTGGGAAAAAACAAAAAACTTCTGTTCCTGACACTTACGGTGTACACAAACCAGCAGGCAGTAGGAAAGGGCACTGGGCTTCTGTTCTGAGATCCTGTCTGATCAGTTCTCCTGCCAGGGTGACATCAGCCTCTCCCTGTCTTAGCTCAGGATGCTGCAACCAGAGACTGGGCAGCTTCAACAACAAACATTTGTTTCTCACAGTGGAAGAGGCTGGTGTCCCAGGTCAAGGTGTCCAGTGAGGCCCACTTCCTGACTTTAGACAGCCACCTTCTCACTGTACCTTCATATGATCTCAGGTCTTTTTTTTTTTTTTTAAGACAAGGTCTTGCTATGTAGTTCAGGCTGTCCTGGACTCACTATGTAGCCCAGGCTGGCCTCAAACTCTCAGTGATCCTTCTGCCTCAGCCTCCCGAGTGCTGGGATTACAAGGGTGCACCACCATTCCCGGCCTTGTGTCTCTTCTTATGAGGGCACCTAGCCCATCTCTGGGGCTCTTCATGACCGAAGTACCTCCCAGTACTATCACACCGGAGACGAGGACTTCCACATATGAGTTTGAGGGTAACACACACAGACAATAGTAGCACCCAAAGTCTCCCTGCTTACCTGTGCCATCCATGCTAGCCCTGCCCCCACGCTACACCAGCACCCCTGGGCGGCCCTCAGGTATCTAAATGTGGAAGTGCAGGGACCTTCCTGTTGCCTCATAAACATGAGAATATTATCACACCAGGCTGGGCTTTAAATAGAGTACAGACAGTCCACTATTTCCTGGACATTTTGATAAAACAGATCAGTCATCTTCCCTTTTGCAAAAATCACTTCAGAAATAATTCATCAGTGCCGTTCGATAAAAATATAAGAGCCACAAGTGTAATCTCAAATTTCCTAGTAACAGCATGTAAGAAGTAAAAACAGGTAAAATTATTTCAATAATATATTTTATTTCTATATACTCTATTTTATCTAATATAGAATGTTGGGGTTGTTTTGTTTGTTTGGTTGGTTGGATTTTTTTTTTTTGGTACCAGGAATCAAACTCAGGATCTCCAGGCAGGTGCTGTGCCACTGAGCTACATCCCTGGCTCTAATATAGAATGTATATAGCCAATGTATCTGTAATATTTATTTAACATATCCAAAATATTACCATTTCAACATATAGCCAATACAGAAAATGATGGAGACATTTTACATTTCACCCCCCATGATGTATTGGAAATCTGATGTGCATCACCTGTGTCAGCCATAGCTCAAGTGCCCCATAGCCATGAAGGACTGGTGGCTGCCACATTGGACTGTGCAGATGTCGACCTTGGCTCCAGGCACCCTGACTGAACGCAGTGACACAGCTGAAATCCAAGCCCGCCCAGCTACCAGGGAAGACAGCATTAACTGCCTATCTCCTTTCATGGAATGCCCTTGAGTTGCGGGGTGCTATTGATATTTGCAAAAGATGAGCGAGAACAACAAAGTATCAGCCACACGGTCTCCTTCTGACTCATGGAACGCAACTCAGGATACTACAGTTTATCCTCAGCATCAAAAACAGGTGGAGGGCTGGGGAGATAACTCAGCGGCTCAGCACTTGCCTGGCAAGTGCAAGGTCCTGAGTTCAATTCCTGGTGCAAAAAAAAAAATTGTGGAGAGTATGGGACATGAGTGCAGGTCCTTTCCGGACATGAGTGCAGGTCCTGTGGTTGTAGTTTTCTCAGGGAAGAAATGGACCCCTTCCTACCATTTAGTAATGCATCATCAGACTAAATGTTGTGCAAACACCACAGAGTGTGCTTACACAAATGAAGAACAGCTGTGACTTCCCCGGGTGACACATCTGACGGGCCACCGTTGTTCAAGCTGTCTGCTGTGGGCTGACGCATGCAGGCGGCCATGCAGCGTGTGACTATACTGAGTTCAGTTGCTATTTGCTGCTGAGTTGAGTCAACGTATTGATTGGGTGAGAAAGTCTGCTGAATAATTAAATTCTAAATCTTCCTCTGACTCTTGATGTTTCCCCTTTGGCTACTTAGCTTTAGCTAGGTGATAGTGAGAGCTAGTCACATGATGCTAGCTTTTTCGCCCTACTTAGAGTAAATATGGAAAGAATGATCCTAAATTATACCCCTGATTGTCCATGTGCTCCATGTCTGCAAGGAAAGGAGGCTGACCCAGATGAATTCTAAGATTTCTCCTGGTTCTAAACTCTACTATGTTATAAATCTGTACCTGGATTTCAGTGTGATCAATGATAGTCCCAGTGGCAGGCTGGTTGAGTGTTACGAAAACTTAAGAACATAAATTTTAAGCTGATGTCAAGGAGCTGATGTCACGGCGCTCTCCTAGCACTTACTTTTAATGGGAATCTGAGTATATTCTTTATTCATTTAAACAGTCAATAAAGACCCAGGATTTGCAGTGGTTCTCTGAGGTTATATTTGCTCTTATATTTTTGTTTTAGGTGGAAAAGAGGTCAAAGATGAAGACCAAAGTGAGGCTGAAAACAGAAAGTTTGAAGTGAGATTGTTAAGAGACCCAGGTGATGCCACAGAAGCCGAAAGGCCCTCTAGCAGGGAGGAAGCCGGAGCCCCAGGGGAAGTGGACAACCAAGGCCAGACAAAGGCTGACAGGGAAAAGTGGGAAGAGGGAGGCAAACACAGCCGAGAGGGCCCAGATGAGCCTCAGGGCAGTCTCTATCCCTCCAAGGACAGTGGTCAAGTCTCTGAAGAAGCCAAGGCACACCGTCCTGAGAAGAGTGAGGAGGGCAGGGAGGAAGGAGAGGGCGAGGACCATCAGCAAAGGGAGCGTGAAAAGGATACCAGTATAGAGAGACGCACTGAAGAGGCAGGAGATGCGCAGAATGCCTTTCTCAACAAAAGAAACCCAATTTCAGCTAAGAAACAAGAGGAACTGGCGACCGAATCAGATACCCACTCTGCTGGGCTCCCTGAGAAGACACACAGCAGGGAAAAGAGCAGCCAGGACAGCGGAGAGGAGAGGAAAAGCCAGGAGAAACACCCTCAAGAGTCTCGCAGCCAACCTCAGAGCAAGGAAGAATCCGAGGAAAGTGAAGAAGATGAAAGTGAAGTGGCCAAACGACGCATGAGGCCCAGACACCACCACGGGAGGACCAGGCCTGACAGGTCCTTTCAAGAAGGGAATCCTCCTTCTGAGGAAGAGGGACAGGAGTCCGAGGAGGCAAGCATGGGCATGACCAGTTTAGGAGAAAAGAGGGGCCGCCATTCTACTCACTATCGGGCTTCAGAGGAAGAACCTGAATATGGAGAAGAAGTGAGGGGTTATCCAGGGGTCCAGGATCCTGAGGAGCTGGAGGGGGGGCAGTACATGGGCAGAGGAAGCGAAGAGTACAGGGCTCCAAGGCCTCACAGTGAGGAGAGTTGGGAAGAGGAGGACAAGAGAAACCACATGGCCCAGGGATACAGTGAAGGGAGTAAGGAGGAGAAGGGACCCCACCACAGAAGGATGGGAGGAGAACCAGGTGCCTATTCTACTCCTGACACCAGAGAAGAGAAAAGGTTCTTGGATGAAGGGCATCACCATGTTCAGGAAAGCCAGATGGACAAGGCAAGGAGATATCCGCAAGATGAGTGGCAAGAGCAGGACAGAAATTACCTCAGTTATGGCGAGGAAGGAGCCCAAGAGAGGTGGCAACAGCAGGAGGACCTGCGAGACCCCAGAGAAAACAGAGAGGACGATAGGCTTCAAGACAAACAGTACGTCTCCCATCACACCACTGGAAAGAGGAAGAGGTTAGGGGTGCTGTTCAACCCGTACTTTGACCCTCTCCAGTGGAAGAGCAGCCATTTTGAGAGAAGAGACAACATGGATGACAATCTTCTGGAAGATGAAGCAGAAAATGCGCTGACCTCGAGTAAGAAGAATTTCTTCCCAGAATACAACTATGACTGGTGGGAGAAAAAGCCCTTCTCTGAGGATGTGAATTGGGGATATGAGAAGAGAAGCTTCCCTAGGGCCCCCAAACTGGATCTGAAAAGGCAGTACGACAGGGTGGCTGAGCTGGACCAGCTGCTTCATTACAGGAAGAAGTCAGCCGAATTCCCCAACTTCTACGACTCTGAGGAACAGATGGGCACACTTCAGGAGGCAGAAAACGAACAGGAAGGAGGCGACCAGAGAGTTCTGACAGAGGAAGAGGTACAGAATGGGGTTTTTCTTTAACATTAACGTATGATGGGGGCTGGGGATTTAGCTCAGCGGCAAAGCGCCTGCCTGGCAAGTGCAAGGTCGTGAGTTTGGTTTCCGGTACCGGAAAAAAACCAAAAAAAAAAAAAACAAAAAACATTAACGTATGATGATCAAGGTCAATATGCTGTGTTCAGCATTATCTGATAATAATGGGGAGAAACTATGGGGGTTTTCCCCATGAGAATGTAGCCCTAGTAACTGAGTGGAGACCACTTCTGGGGTTGACTCCCACCCACCATCCGGTTGTATTCCACTTCCCTGGCCTCTTCACTCTATGGCAGTGTCTCTCAACCTCATCTGCACATTGGAATCACGTGGAGAGCTTGGAAAATCCCCAAGTATGGGATCCATCCCGAGAGATTCTGTCTAACCAGTACTGGGTGCTGCCTGATTTTTCAAAGATCCGGGTGATCCCAATGTCCAGCCAACCCTGACAAGCGCTGTTCTCGTGGCTTCTTGATTGTGTGACTGATCACCACCCTTCAGGATAAGAAGAACAGGCAATAGAGAACTCAGTCATTTTGGTCTTCATTGGTTTATGTCCTACTACAAAAAGATTTTACATCTAGGAAAGAGAGTGTTATCAAAGCTGCACCTTCCCAACCATTTTTTTTTTGCCTTAATATTGGTTATGTTGGTTGGTGCTTCTCAAACTTGAATGTGCTTCAGAATCATGAGGGTTTTCTAACCTTCAGGGCTTGGGAGTCTGTAGTTTTGGGGTGTGTCTTAGTCACGTCTCTGAGACACAGTGCCTGGCACCCACAATTTAAAGGGGGAGAGGTTCATTTTGGCTCATGGTTAGAGTCCGTGGTGGACCGGCTCCAAGGCAGCAGTGGCGTGGCAGAGGGGTGGAGCAGAGGACAGCTGCCCTCGTCATGGCAGCGAGGAAGCAGACAGACGGGAGGAGCCGGAAGGGAGTGAACCCCACTTTCAACAGCACATGCAGCTGTTGAATCTGACATTGAGTACACTGCCCCCCATCTAATCACCTTTCCAAAAGCCCTACCCCTAAGCTAATGAGAATTTGGGAGGACACTCTAGATCTAATCCATAATAGGGCAGGCCCAAGAATCCACATTTCCAGTAAGTTCCCTGAGGCTGCTAAAACTGTCAGTCAAGAGACCCCTCCGAGGACACTCCTGTGGGTTGACTCCTATGGCCTCCAAATGTATCTACATTTCCTTCGTACTTAGACTGCCTCAAGCAACAGCGATATAAACTGACCTGGAACCTTATGTCTCCACTTTTCTATATTTTTCAGGAAAAACAACTTGAAAACTTGGCTGCGATGGATTTGGAATTACAGAAAATAGCCGAGAAGTTTAGCCAGAGGGGCTGACAGTTGCTGGAATGACAGGCAGTTTTAAGAAATAGCCCTCATAGTACCGATTTTCCACCACTTTGCTGAAAGACACCATTTATTTACCCAAAGGCAGAAAGTAGAATTTACTATTCCTTAATGTTTGACACAGTTGGAAATGTCCTTACTTTTTGCCAGAATGCTATTGAAAACGTGAATAGCATGACCCGTAGCATATTCTTCCTTGCAAAATAGACATATTAATATGCTTGCGACAATGAGTGTGCTGCTGTCTTTGAAAATCTGTTTGTCTCAGTTTGAAATAATTAAAGATTCATCTGAGACCCAAAGGATCGTGTTTCTCAGCTTCCTTGGGGCTGGTGGGGAGGAATGTGACTTTCCAATCCAGTCTTTAAACTCTGAAAGATGCCACTAGGATTTGTTGGGCTTTGGATGCTGACTAGGAAAAAAGCAATCCTTCCAAAGTAAAAGAGTGCGCAGGATGTGAAGAGGAAGATGTCAGAGGGGAAAAGAGTCTGCTGCGCCAGACTGAGCGACTAGGCTTGAAGAATGGTTTCGATAATCATAAGCTACTTCTTTAAAAACCCTACACATGAGAGGGTGGAGCTCTGTGGTGGAGCACTTGCCTAGCATGTGCCAGGCCCTGGGTTCACCCCCGTGCTTGGAAGGGGTGAGGGAAGGCACTGTGAAAGGGACGTACAGCCAGTCCTCATGATTAGTCTGGCACAGTGGTGCCTGCTTGTAGTTCCGGCTACTTGGGAGGCTGAAGTAAGAGGATTGCTCAAGCCCAGGAGTTACAGACCAGCTTAGGCAACACAGTGAAACCTCATCACATTAAGCCAGGTGCAGCAGTACATGCCGGTAATGCTAGCACTCGGGAGGCTGAGGCAGGAGGATTGCCACAAGTTTGATGCGAGGTGGCAAGCATGTGTAGGGTCACGGCTGACTACTTCAATCTGCCCAGAAAGTCCTGGCTGTGTTCTCCTCCAAGTCAAGAATGGTTGGGTCGGTTTAACCAGATTCTTTCCAGGTTAGGGCCAGACACACTTTTCTGGGGGACTCGAGGCTTTATCAACCAAGGAGCATGCTGGTCAGTGCTGCACAGCTGGTGGCAAAGCGTTTTAGCCAGGGCACATGTTTCTAACAGGCTGAGTTCTTTCTGTCTCTCTCCCTTTCTCTGTGTCTCTGTGTCAGTCTCTGTCTCTCTTGTCTCTCTGCCTTTCTCTTTCTCTCTCTCTCTCTCTGTCTCTGTCTGTCTCTGTCTGTCTGTCTATCTATCTCCCTATCTACCTCTGTCTTCCTTCCTGGCCATGGGGTCAGGACCAGCTGCTAGCAGAGGCCAGCCAGGGGCACTGGGGCTGTCGTGGCTGCAAGAGCAGCCCTCACTGTAGACAAGTGGCTGGGCAGATGAATGTTCTACTAGCTTCCTAGAGCTGCCAGGACGAGGTACTAGTTACACTGCAGGGGCCCTATTTCCAAACACAGCCACATTCTGCAGTCCTGGGGGCTGGGGATTCAACATGTCTTTTATTGGGTACACAATTCACCCCATAACAAGGCAGGCCAGCTACCACCTCCCCAATGTGGGGTAACTTGGGGCACACGTTCCGCGCTGCCCAGGTGCCTTGGCAGTGACCTGCTTACTGACATGTCCTTTATTGGCTTCTGTTACCTCCCTGGCCCCTGCTGCTGGGCACATAACTGATCTGTCCTGAAATCACCTCCCAAGTAAACTGCTTTTCCTCAGAAGCTCAGCTCAGGGTTTGCTTCTGGGAGACCCTGAACCCAAGAAACTGCCCGATGCCAAGGTCTGTGTCATGACGGACTCTGCAACTGTAGCCGTCACTGTCGGAGAGGCAGCTTCTTGTCTTACTACATCCGGGCACAAATGCCGGGAGACACTTATGTGCAGCACAGCCAGTCTCTGCCTTTCTCTGACCACAGCTCAGTAGAAATCAAAATCATCCCCTAAATACAAAGAATTTGGGGGGCCTAAGATGATAGGGGTTTATCTCATGGAAAGAGAAAGCAAATCACTGCCATGTACCAAATACCAGCCTGGCACATGCACTCACATTAACACAACTCCTCTCACACTCTCCCTTTACACACACACACACACACACACACACACACACACACACCAATGCAGCCATACATCCCTGAACAACAGGGGCATGTTCTGAGAAATGTGTCCTTAGGTGACTTTATGTTGTAAATGCCACAGATGTCCCCACTCAAACGCAGATGGTGTGGCTTGTGACATGCCCAGGCTGCAGTGTGAGTAGAATTTATTGTGTGTTGTGTGATGAACAAAACAACGTGAGATTAAATCCAGCACAAGAGAAAATGACAAGAGATGCAGGGCCAGGGATATGGCTCAGTGGCAGAGTGCCTGCCTGGCAAGTACAAGGGCCTGAGTTCAATTCCTGGTGCAAAAAAAAAAAAAAAAAAAGAGAGAGATGCAGAAAACACATAGTGTGTAACAGGCTGCTGCTGGCCTAACACGGCACACTGCTCCACAGCAAGGTGGATTTTTATAGTAGGAATGTAATCTAAACAACAATGAGAATATAATATAGTCAACACATAAACCAGTAAATAGTCATTTATCAGCCTTGAGTGGTATGCCCTGTAGTACTTGGGTACTGTGTATGTGGACTTTTATACAACTGGCGTCGCAGCGTTTTCATGAGCATCACAGGCTGTGTTGTGACAGCTCCACTCTGATCTTTGGGACTGCTCTCAGATACGCAGCCCGTTGTGACTGAGGTGTTAGTAAGCAGCTCGTGACTGTTTATATTCACCGTGAAAACACTGAGTGCCCCTGAAAGGTGCTATGAAGGCAACCTCATTTGAAAATAGGTCTCTGCAAATGCAGTCGAGGTGAGGTCATCAGGGCGGGTGCATCTCCACCCTGACTAGTGTCCTTGTAAGAACACACACACACACACACACACACAGAACGCTGTGTGACGATGTATGCAGAAAGACTCCATGTGACAGTGGAGGCAGGGCCAGCAGTGACGCTGCCACAAGCCCAGATACACCTGGTCATCAGACGCTAAAAGAGAGAAGGTAAGGATGTTGCCCCTGGCCCTACTTTGACTTGGGGTGCATGCTCCAGCAGTGCTGGGGATCCCATGCAATGAGAGACAAATGCCCTTAGCAACCCCGTCCCTGAATCCTTCTGCAAGTGCAGTCCCCTGGAAGTAAGAATTTTACTTGAACATTTTGGTTGTCATGGTCTCTAATATTTTATCAAGAAGGAGGTGGGACAGCAGGACAGAGGGGTCCCATCTTTGCACAATGGAAACGACCAGCATGCCCTTGTGAACACAGTATAACGGGGAGACAGCCCACTGCCGTGATTGCAGCTCTGCCGTCGAGGAAGCAGACACTCATGGATAGTGGGCCTCACTGAAAATGTGCCTGTTGATGAAGGACCTCAGGGGTGGAGCCACGTGGACACCTGGGAGAAGACCTTTGCAGGCAGAGCCAGAGAGCAGGTGCTAAGGCCCTGAGGCAGGTGTGCTTGGCTGGTTTGAAGAAGAGCAAGGACACTGGGGTTGGGGGTGTCACAAGCGGCAAGGCAGCAGGAGCCAGGCCACTGTGGGCTTTGTGGGCCCTGCTAAGGACTTTTGCTTTCGGATGTAGTTTTCAACAGAAGGGTGACCTGATTTGCCCCACAGCATAACGGTACCGGCCACTGGGCGGAAGGCAGGCTGGCGGGGACGCGGGCAGAAGTACAGGAGCCCGAAGCAGGGCGCTGCGCGAACCCTGGCCAGTGTCCCCAAGGCTTGGGCCAGGTGGGGGCGATGGCGGCGGGAGAGCAGCCCGACCCCAGCCTGACTCCGACTGCGCATGTGCCGGAGGCCGACAGGGGGCCCTGAGGCAGCAGGAGGACGAGCACGAGGCCGGGGTTTGGCCGCGACCGCCCATCCGGGAACAGATGGGGAAGGTGCGGGGGTCTGGACCGGAGCGAGGACTCGGCTAGGGAGCCGAGGCTTGAGAGCGAGAGGCGGGCGGCTGCAGGCGGAAGGGGCTTGTGCGGAGCGCCCGGGTCATCTCGGGCGGTGGCCTTGAACCCTCGGGCAGGGCGGGCGTGCGCGATCGCCCGTGGCGGGGCTGCTAGGCGGGTGAGCGCCAACGCCCACGCCTAAGGTAGCTGCCTATAATACTTTGGCCTCCTCACAGGGACTTTCCCTGGGCACCGCAGTGAGCTCCGGGCTTTCAAATGGATCCTGCGGATCTCCAGGGCACAGGTGGCCCCTGGCCCTCTTGCACACCTGCCTCTGCCGCAGGCACTGTGCGCCAGTCTGGTAGATTAGTGTATGTTTGTATATCTTGCATTAAATTGCTTTCCCTAGCAAGCACTGACTGATCCAGTTAGGGAAAGCCCTCTCAGAAAGCAAAGAATCGCACTATTTTCTCTATCCTCTGGGTTCATGTCCCCACTTTTTAAAGTTTCTTGGCTTAGGATTGTTTTGTTTTGTTTCCGGTACCGGGTATCAAACTCAGGACCTTGCGCTTGCCGGGCAGGCGCTGTGCCACTGAGCTAAACCCCCAGCCCTTGGCTTAGGATTGTAATACCAAGTGTCCTAAACACTCAGCAGACTGTGACTGCCCACACTTCAGAGCAAAATCTCTATCTGCCCTGTTACCTTTCTGTCCATGTGAAAATGCAATGTTCAAATCTTTCCAGTCTTGGTTTAATGATATACAGTATCAGGCAAATGGCAGCAGCTCAGGTTATTCATAGAACTGTAAACCTGGGAAGGGGGCAGATGGCATGTGGTATTAACTTCCTGTGATTTAAAGGTTTGACCCATTTGCCTCAGTGTCTCTTGCAGTGTCACCAGCCCCAGGAGCCTGGACCAGAGGCCCTGTCCCCCAGTCCTGGAGAGGAAGGCCGCACGCAGCCTGGTGCAGCGCAGAGCACTATCCACTTTGAGCAGGGAGGAAGTGGGCCAGTGTGGTATGGGGACGCATCCCAGGCTGGATGGAGGCCAGCGAGACTGCACAGCATCAGTGTGGAGATAACACAAGAGGCTGTTCCAGGGCAGGTCCTCCTGTTCACTCTTTATCCATAACCACAGTGGGTCAGTGGAGCGAGAGGGCGTGTGGAGACCTGGGCAGTGTGACTGCTGTGGCTACGTCTGTCAGTGTGGAAGACCCCCGGATCTCACTCTCAGGAGACCATTCCATCACTGGCTGCAAGACATGACAATGGCTTGTGAAAATCTTTTTTTTTCCTCTTGAAAATCTAGATGACCCGGGCAAACGTGGAAATGAAGGCAATACAAAGATGGGAGATGCTGGAAGTCAC